ATGTTTCGTTCTGCTGTGCATGGGGTCACTATGAGTCGGTCCCAACTCGATGGCACCTGACAACAGCAACAACAACAGAGGCTGTATGGATAGACTCAAGCGTGGCAACTACAATGAGGTTGTCCCAGGATTGGTTCTGCTCTGCATAAGATCACGATGAGTCGGTAGTGACTGATGGCACCTAACAACAACAAATGTGTATCCTTGTTGTCACATTCCATCAAGTCAGTTCCAAGTCATAGCTACAGTGCATAGGTTTCAGAGGAGTAACTGGTGGGATTAAACCATCAACCTTGTAGTTAACAATTCTGTGCTTAAACTTAAGTGCCACAAGAGGATGTATTCTTAGGCTTGAATAACTTTCAAAGATTTACCTAGGCTTGTTTCTTATTCTACTAAACCTAAGTGACATTCAGCAAGCCTATTAAAAGTGGAATTCTGTGTTTTCTTTACCTCAAGGGAAAAATACCATCATTCCTTTCTTCTATCTCTTTTGATGCCTGTTATTAATGACGTAAATGTTTGTAAACATCCTCTAAGTCTTATATTTTCACCTTTTTACATTTTTGCTTTGCATTATTTATGTATTTCTTCCACTGTAAAATTAAACTTTCAATGGAATTTCGTCTAGAATGTCAGTAATATAAATTGTAAAGCCTATTCTGTCCTGTGCTTTGTCTTTAATACTTAAGAAAAATTCAGAAATTGTGCTGTTCTCCCTCCTCCTTTTCTCCCCAAACTGAAGACAGACATATTTCAAGTTCCAGGACAGTAATTTGGGTCTAATCAGTGACCAGTCATACCTTCAGTTGAGATATTGATTTTTTTGTTGTTGTTTACTTATATGTTCAAAACATGGTTTGAGTTTAGAGAAAATCTCAGAGTTGTGCTTAACATTCGTTGAGTGCACTTAGTGTATACTTTTCAGTAGGTGGCCTTCTCACTAATGGCTGGTTTGCTTGATTTCCTCTCCTGAGTATTGTGCTGCCTATTGCTAGAGCTGTTTTATTTTATGATTTGGAGGTCTATTATCTATGTCTTATTGTTAAGTACCAGTGCCATTGATTCAGGTCTGGCTCATAGTGATCTTAAATAAGGTTTCCAAAGCAAGGCTAGTGAGTTTGAACCACTGACATTGTAGTGAACAGTCCAGTGACAATTCTACAGTGTCACACCAGGGCCCCGTATAAGATGTACATTTCAGATGCAGATTAATTAATGGTGGCAGTCTCACAGGTGACGAGTCATGGAGTTCACTACTTTTATAAGTCAGAAGGACAGTGTCAGATTTTCAATCTTTTAACAGGACATCACGAGGAAGTCTTCTGTTCTATGCTCTCACACAAACTCTCCACGACTGGAATGAATGGTGCTGAGGTTTTGAGTTCCCCTTCCCTCCAAGATACCAGTGATTTGAACTTTTTCTGGCCCACTCCCCAAGCTCTTCTGGCCTGGCCCTGGATCTGCAGGAAGCCAATTTCATATTTCCTTTTCCACTAAAATTCTGGCTAAGGAAGAAACTTCAGACTTCCCCTTCAACCTGCTCTCCCAACTGATACAGGAGTCATTTTGCTGGCTTAAGAGAATGAAAATATGCTGGAAGTGGGAAGGAAAGAAATGACTATCTTCCATAAACAACATTATTTATACATCAAAAGAGTCCATGTGATTTAATTAGTAACTAAACACACTGGACTGAAAAGCACAATGTCTGTAGTTTGAGCCCACCAACCACTCCATGGGAAAATTGAGTCTTTCTGCTGCTGCTAAGATTTTAAGCCTTGTAAACCCTATATGGAGTCACTATGAGTTGGAACCAGCAGGATGGCACTTACCAACAACACCAATCTGAAATAATAATCAAGTCGCAGGCAAGGAGACCCTAAGTAATGAACATGGTGAATGTACTCAGCTGCTAAGTGCAAAGTTGGAAGATTAAATCCACCCAAAGGTGGTTTAAAGAAAGGCCTGGTAATTCATTGTTATTGATGTTAGGTACCCTCAAGTTGGCTTTTCACTCATAGTGATCCTATGTACAACATAAAGAAATATTGTCTGTCCTGCTACATCTCCCCAATGTGAAATTCACAATGTGAATTTGGGGACTACGTTTGCACTCATTACTACAACCACTGTGATTACTTCTGAAAAGCAGACACTGAAAACCATAGGGTGCACAATTCTTCTCGGACATACATAGGGTTATTATGAGACTAAAGGTATTCAGGGCAATTGTTTTTGTTTGGTTTGTTTGTTTATTCCTGTTGTTAAGTGCCATTTGAACTGTTGACCTTATGACAAGCAGTCCAATGGTTATCCGGCAGTGCCAAACCAGAACTTTATATGCAGTAAAATTAAGTATTCAAAATATTATGTCAAAGAATAAGTGTGTTCTCTTTTAAATCCAAGTTCAAAGTGCCAAAAAGAGTCCAGAAATCAATATTATAGCTGAACTTTCTTTTAATATATTCAAAAATTCATTACATGAAGTTAATTAATGATAACAACCAGTTCTCTGAAATCTGAGACATGAACTAGTCTCAAGTCATCAGAATGGCTAAATGCATTCAAGTAGACCTTGAATCAATTACTCCTTGGCAAATACTAGGCAATACTAGTCACATGAGCTCTGGTGGCACAACAGTTAAACACATAATTATGCTCTGATAGCATAGTGGTTATGAGTCAGGGTCAAGGTCAGCTGTTCAAAACTAGCATCACTTCTGTGGGAGAAAGATGAGGCTTTTTGCTCCTGCATAGATTTACAGCTGTGAAAACCCTATGCTGGGTCACTATGAGTTGGAACTGATTCTGTGGCACATAACGACCACCACCATCATTAACTGAATGGTTTGAAGTTCACAGTAATCCATAAACACTGTAAAGGAAAGGCCTAGCAGTTGGTTCCCACAAAGATTATGATGGTGGTGGTTATGCACCATGGAGTCAGTTCTGACTCACAGCAACCCTATATAGGGTTTCTGAGGCTGTAAATCTTTACAGGAGCAGAAAACCTTATCTTTCTCCGACAGACCATCTGGTAGATTCAAACTGCTGACCTTGACGTAATCACTATGCTACCAGAGCTCCTTTCAGAAATTATACAGCCTAGAAAATTATATGTAGCTGTTCTACTCTAACAAATGGGTTAATTATGAGTTTAAAATTCATTCAATGGTACCTACCACCAACATGCATTAAACATATAAATTATAAAACGTTACTTGGTAATATGGGAAGGTTTACATATATTTAAAATGGTACTTGGGGGGGGGTGTTGTATGTGTTAAAATAAATAAGATACGTAAAATGTTTAATGGTATTTGAAAGTGTGTATTGATTAATTATTAACCAATAGCTATTAAGAAGTACTCATGTACTTCTACTAAAGACACTCTTAGTATATGGTAATAAACTAAAAATTTAATTGATATGTTGCTAATAATTCCAGACTTGTTTTCTATCTTCTTTTATGAAAATGTTCTTTTAAAGTCTTTACATTTTCTTAGCTATAGAGACAAAGAGTTTAAGTATAAAGAATTATGCCAATTAAAAAAGTATTACCAGTGCTTTCCAAATTACTAATTTGTAGATCAAACAGTTACAGACACTTTGATATTCTAAAATGAATTTCAATAAGTATGAGAATGGTGTTATTATTAAGTGTTTCTGAATCAGTTACAACTCATAGAAAGTCTGCATAGGGTTTATAAGGAGTGGCTGGTAAGTTTGAACCACCAACCTTGTGGTCCAATGTTTATCCTACAGCACCATAGCAGGACTTCTGGTATGAGAATAGCTACAACCAATATTCTTAAATACTTTCATGCTACAGAAAAATTGTTAAAATATTCTAAAACATCTCCAAATATATTTATAAACAAATTTAAAAACTGAATTTCAAATGATGATTAATTTTTATAAACCATTCTAATTGCTTAAGTATAAAATGATTTTCCTTACCCATATCTGACATTTCAGGCACAGTAACGATGTATGGTCCATCTGTGAATTTGGGGGCATTGTCATTGATGTCTTGCACCTTGATGATGAATTCAGATTCAGGTTCAAGTGGCTTGTTTGTTCTTCTGTCAATGGCCTGAGCATGGAGCACATAGTGGGTTTTCTGCTCTCTGTCTAGGCTTTTCGTTGAGTGGATGTCACCTGTGGTATCATCAATGATAAATATAGTCCCAGCACCTTCTCCAGTAAGGATGTACTTGACAGACCCATCACCTTTATCAGAATTGGAGTGCAGCTGTAAAATATACATGAGATAGTTTAGTATGCAATTGTGTACCAGCCCCACACAGTGTCCTCTGAAAATTCCATATCTATAACTGAATAACACTAAGTTGATTATGACTTTTCATCTCTCCATGGTCCTTTGCACATCACTACGATCATTTATTTTCCTGCAAGGTTTCTACCCAGTGCATAATCTTTATTGTGATTTGTCTCAGAGACTCAGTTATTGTTTTAAGATAAATCAATAAAACAATATTCATTTAAATGAAAACAATAACTCTGGTTGTCTTTGTATCAAATCAACATTTCACTGACTACAATCGATTTAGGAAGGCAAATTCCAGGTAGATTACTGTTTCCTTCAAAATGTTGGAGAATGCTCTTTATTTTATAAATAACAGTAATAATAATCAGTGGCATTCTATTTAAACCTTAAGATTAGGGGGAAATGGTAGGAAAATTGAGTCGTGCTAGTTATTATAACTGCTATGAAGTCTTCAGATATTTATCATGCAGGTATTAACTTTATAATTAAAAAAAAAACAATAAAATACTTCTCTCATGGAACTTTTTGCACTTAGAACAAAAAACAGTAATGGTAGAATATTTTGTTTTGTTTTTTAAAAAAAACATTATGAAATTTTATTTTAGATTACCTATTCTTGTTGCTGTCAAAGTCTATTCCAACTCATAGCAACCTTATAACATAGGGTGGAACTGTCCTATAGTGTCCCATAATCAATAATATTTATGGAGGAAGATTGCCAGTATCTTTGAACCCCAGAGGCTGATGCCTGAAACCACTAACCTTTCAATTAGCAGCGTGTTACTTTAGCTTCATGGTTTCACCACCATGGCTTCGGTAAATTTTAAATTGTAGCACTATATTTAATCAACAAGTGCTACCAAGCATTTAATTGAGGTCCTGGTATGGTGTTGTAGGATTAGCACCAAACTGCTAACCTTGAGATCAGCAGTTCAAACTCATCAGCTTCTCCTTGAAAACTCTATACTGAGTTGCTCTGAGTGTGAACCGACTCCATGACATTTAACAACAACAAAAAATATTTAATTAATTGAGATATAATAATAAATTCTCAATGATTAAATCACAATGGTCAGAGTCTACTTTGAATAGAGGGTCCGGGTGTCATGCTGTGGGCTAATGTACTGGACTGCCAAATTGGATTGTACTGCAAGGTCGGTTCAACCTAACCAGTTGCTCCTCAGAAAACCTATACAGGGTTGTTATGAGTCAGAATAGACTTGACTGCGCTTAACAACAACAACAATAACTTTTAATAGATATTTGAAAAAAATAATTCAAGAGAAGAAAGGTCTTCAAGTAGAAAGAAAATATATTTCAATAAGGATAAACTTAATTTGTGCTAGTTGCCTAGTAGTTACGAGTCGACTGTTAACCTCAAGGTCACCAGCTGTTCCATGGGAGAAAGATGAGGCTTTCTACTCCGTAAAGAGTTACAGTCTCAGAAACCCTATACAAGGTCGTGATAAGTCAGAACCGACTCCATGGCATACCATTACCACCATCATAGTTCATGTTTCAGATTCTACTACAACTGTCTAACATCGGATTTAGTTAAATACGTCTGTACTTACTTCTATCTAGGTATTTCTAGTACAGTATACAATGGTATTTTCTGAAATCACAAGTATATATTTCAAGAATTGTTTTTCTCAAGAGATCTGAGCAGTTATCCTTCATATGAAACCTTTTTGTTCACCTAACCTCAACTACTCACCTTTTGCTCATCACTGACACTTGAACACATTTAAAAAATATAACCTTGTTCACATAGCACTTCAGTTCTCTTGCTATAGTAAAGTGAAAATTTTCAAGGTTTATTTTACAGTCTCTGAAATTTTAGAAGACATTTCAAAAAGATAAAAAAAGAAAAAAGACTGGCAAACTAAAAGCAGGTTAAACATAAATGATGATATATCAGATAGAATTTTACTTCTTACTAGAAAATGCATAAGACCTAATGATAAAAACCGGATGCAAATTTCAATCAATTATGTCATTGCAAAATATTTCTATTGGTGTTTTTACAATAAGGAATCAAATATATTGCTAAAATATGGAAATAGCTTTTCAGGATTCATTCTTCATTAGTAAATTAGCTACTGAAGAGGTATCCAGGGGAAATTAAGTGAAGACTATTGAGTGCATATATGGATGCATTTTTTTTATTTCTTTAAGTCTCTTGATCTATCATTTGAGTACCTAAAGGAAAATATTACTCAATCAGAAGATCCAGAACATGATATCACAAGCTCCAATGTTGCATTGGAGTCCTGGTGTGGCACTTTGGGTTAATGTGCTGGACTGCAAAGGTGGTTTCACCAACAGGGTTGGTGGTTCAAACTCACTAGTTGCTCCTCAGAAACCCCATATAGGGTCACTATGGGTCAAAAATGACTCAACAGAATTTAACAACACCACTAACAACAATAACAATGTTGTATCAGTTCATAACCAAAACATATGAATACTACTACTAGTTACTATCATCATATCAATTCCATCTCATCGTGAGCCTAAATTGGTTTTCTGAGGCTACAGATTTTTAAGGGAGTCTGATCTTTTTCCCAAGGAGCAGTTGGTGGGTTTGAATTGCTGACCTTGTGGTTAACAGTTAGGGCTTATCCTGCAGTGACACCAGGGAAAGCCAACTAAAACAGCACATTCATTAAAGAGATGTTTCTAAAGGTATTTTAAAAAATATGTTTATTAATTTATATAGCATAATAGCATAACAAGTGATGGTTTGGTAGGAACTCTGTTATAAATAAAATGGTAAATTTAGATACTATAATTAAAACACATTGTTGGGAAAAGTGTTGTAACAGCTATTTCTCACAAAATTATAATTGAAACTATCAATTTTTAGGATATAGTTAGCCAAATTTTCTATAATTTTACTGAAATTAATTATATTTAGATCATGGACTGAAGTTTTATATTACAGATATTCAATTGTATTTTGTTTAATTGTACTTATTTATGTGGTCTACCACCAGATAAGTAAGAGAAGCAATAAAGTTATCGATCAAAGAAATCTGTTACATAAAATTGCATACACTATACTTTATATGAGGGAGTCTTGGTGTGGTGCTGCAAGATAATGCACTAGACCACAAGGTTAGTTTGAGATACAAGGTCAGTCGTTCAAACCCACCACCCGCTTCTCAGAAACCCTATGCAGGGTGGCTGTGAATCAGAACTGATTCCGTGGCACTTAACAACAACGACAACATGCTTTAAACAGGTTCTGGTTAAGCTACTCCAGACAAAAGAAAAAATGTTAGAAATTTCATTTCTTATGATTTGAAGACTCACATCCAGTTGTGTACACAAACATTTTATAAATAATAAATCACAAAATATTTTCAAAGTTTTGGTTAATTTAAATATTGATATAGAATAAGGTCAGTGAATTGTAATTTTACATTTGTATTATTGCTAATGTGGCTATATTTGCTCTCATCAGGTGTCATCGAGTCGGAACTAACTCATAGGGACCCCATGCACAGCAGAACAAAACAATGTCTGATCTTTGGCCAACCGCACTACCGCTGCCACACTTGAGTCCATCAATGATGCCACCTGGCCAATCCATCTCGTTGGGGACCTTCCTCTTTTTCTCCGACCCCCCATCTTTCCAAGCATGATATCCTTCTCCAGCGACTGTTCCATCCTGACAATATGTTGAAAGTATGAGAGACGAAGTTTAGCCATCTTGGCCTTCAAGGAGCACTCTGGCTGCACTTCTTCAAAAACAGATCTATTGGTTCTTTTGGCAGTCCATGGCACTTTTAGCATTCTTCTCCAACACCACAACTCAAAGGCATCAATTCTTCTACGGTTTTCCTTATTCACTGCCTAGTTTTCGCATCCATATGAAGTTATTGAAAATACCATGGCTTGGGTCAGGCGCACCTTAGTCCTCAAGGTGACACCTTTGCTCTTCAACACTTTAAAAAGTTCCTGTGCAGCAGATTTGCCCAATGCAATATGTCCTCTGATCTCTTGACTTCTGTTTCTGTGAACGCTGATAGTTGATCCAAGAAGAATGAAGTCCTTGACAACTTCAATCTTTTCTCCATTGATAAGAATGTTGTTTCTTGGTCCAGTGGTGAGGATTTTTGTTTTCTTGACATTGAGATGTAATCCATACTGAAGGCTGTGCTCTTTGATCTTCATAAGTAAATGTTTCAAGTCCTCTTCACTTTCAGCAAGCTGGGTTGTATCATCTGCATATCACAAATTGTTAATGAGTCTTCCTCCAATCCTGATACCACGTTTTTCTTCATAGAACCCAGCTTCAGGTATTATTTGCTCAGCATACAGGTTAAATAAGTATGGTGAAAGAACACAACCTTGTCGCACAACTTTCACAATTTTAAAATATTCAGTGTTCCCATGCTCTGTTCTAACAACTGCTTCTTAGCCTAGGTACAGTGTTCCCATGCTCTGTTCGAACAACTGCTTCTTAGCCTAGGTACAGATTCCTCAGAAGTACAATTAAGTGTTCTGGAATATTCATACTTTGCAATATTGTCCATAGCATTTCATGATCCACACAATCGAAAGCATTGGTGTAGTCAATAAAGCATAGGTAAACATCTTTCTGATATTGTCTGCTTTCAACCAAGATCCATCAGATATCAGCAATGATATCTCTTGTTCCACGGCCTCTTCAGAATCCATCGTGAACCTCTGGAAATTCTCTATCAATGTATGATTGTAGCCGTTTTGGTATTATCTTTAGGAATATATTAACTATTATAATAAAAAATTATATCATTGTGATCATCTTTGGGTTAAGTTTTTAAATGGTGTACTGTCAGTAGACATTGAGTTGATTCTGACTCACGGTCACTCTATGTGTATAGACCACAACTGTTTATAGGGTTTCAAAACTGTGAACTTTTAGAATAGAATTGCCAGGCTTGTATTCCAATGCACCTGTAGTTAGAATTGTA